GTATTAAGTACCATAACCACTCCACCTTCAATCCACATTGAAATGGATTTCAACATGTTTTTGACCTTGGATCCAGAAATCCTTTTTCATTACAATGTGTATAAAATGCAAATCTACTTATAATTGTTACCTTTCAACATTTTACCCCTCTCTACTGAAGAATCCTCATTTGTATGAATTTATAGCATATAGTACTTGTAACTAATATTTACTTCCACATTTCCAAACAAAGGAAATATCCTACATCCCTTCTCCTATTTTACAAAGGGGATCTCCACATACCTTATTTAGAAATGAGCACGATTTCGCTCAAGCTTTAGAGAGACTCATAGAATTAGTATAGAGCATAGAGACATTAACAAACCATCTCCTTTAATCGCTGGAAGTGATAAAAAGCAAGACATTTTCCTTGCAAAATTTTTAAACAATCCTGGCCAGGGAAGAATATAATGTCCATATAAAGTCAGCAAATAGAGCAATCAACTGGTATGTCTACAAGAAAAAAGGCAGGAAAAGGAAGAGAGAAGGATGCAAGAAAAGTGGGAAAGAAGTCAACAGCAGAAAGAAAGGCAGGCTCGGGGGCAGGAAGAACTGCTTTCAGGGAACTGAGAGTGAAGAACAGCAAAGCCCTGCCACTAAGGAACCTCATCCTCTTCTGTTTGCACCATAGGGGCAGAGGTGGGGAGGTAAGCTTGTACACATTAGCAAGATGCTCTGCAAGATACAGCAATAAATTTAATCTGGTCTCTCTACTCAAGAAGTCGGTATTAAGACAGACAACCTGAACCATCAGAATGGCAGAAGGCAGAACATAGGTGCTTATCAGTAAGGTAGCTGAAAAGGGAGTTCATTGTTTCCTTTAGAATGAGGGTACAGAGCCATCAGTGAGGGGGGAGAAAAGAAGCTGGAAGGTTGGTGAGTAAAAATATGACACATTCATTAATTTAAAAATTACATTGTGTTCAAAAACTCTGATGAAAAGAATATATACATATATAAAACTTGCAGACTGAAATTAACATATGTCCAGCCAAATAATTAAATACAAACTCCATATATGTGCCAAGATATGAGCTCATAGCTCCAGACGAATAAGCTATGGTTCACTGACCTGTGTGGGTATTAACGAGCTCATCAAAACTTTTTTTCCCAACAATCACAGACATTACACTACTTGGAAAATGGTAAATAGAAAGTCAGGTCAACATGAACATTTCTCTGCTAGCTTAAATCTACATTTAAGTCATAATTTCATAAATTAAAATGTCAGGTGTATTTATTTTGAGATTACCTAGAGATATTCAATTTTGCATTTCATAGACTTTTAATATTGTTTTGTGTCTCCATATAAAACATTTATCTGGGTCAAAAACCTTGAAATCATTTATAGATATACTTTTCCTTTTATTGGCTATGTTAAGAAAATTTACCTGTGGGAACTATAAGAATTCCAAGCAATTTACTGTCTGGCCAAGAGTATCACATTTGCACATGATTTATTGATGAATAACTTGTGCAAATTTAAGTAGCACTTCATCAATAAATGTTTTCTTTAGCTGTACTGGGACAGAAATAGTGCATCTCTTTTTTGCCTAATGCTACAAGGAGTTATCCTAAATAGTTGAAAAACTCAAGATAGTTATCCAGTAATTAGGCTATTATGAGACACACTCTTTGCGATGTTCACTGGGAGGGTATTATTGAGGCTGTTCAGTCTCTCACTCCATGCCTGCCCCCATTAAATCCTAAGGGAGAAAATTCTTTCTGCTCTTAGCACCAGGATCAGCTATACTCACTGGCAACTGGTTTGTTTTCATTTTAAGATGATGAGAGACTTTCCCTTTCTGTATTAACTCACTTTATTTCCCTCCTTTTATTGGTTGCTAGAGAACTGAAAGTAAAAATTGAAGGCCACCTGTATAAGTCAGTTAAGTCTCCATGCCACACGTTTTCTACAGCAATAGAAATAATTATAATTGCCAACAGTTACTAAGTACTTTGTGCTAAGCACTTTACATGTGTTATATTTCATTTAATATTCTTAATAATCCTAATATGAGAGAACTTTTATTTTTCCATCTTCACCAGTGAGGAAACTGAAGCTTAGAGGGGTTAGTCAACTCACCCAGGGCCACTGAGTAAGCGGCAGAACTTCAACTCAACTGGTCTTTCCAGCGTCAAAGATCATGCTTCTAATTACTCTGGTATTCTGCTTCCTGGCCCATCTTTTGTTTCTGCCATTTTGACTATGTTTCCTTTTGCTAATGAAATAAAGATAATGGACCAGGACTCTTGAGAAAAACTCAGGACTCTCTTAACTCATCTTCTGAAAGGCTATGCCTTGGACAGGCATAGAGGCTTACGGCTGTAATCCCAGCACTTTGGGAAGCCAAGGTGGGAAGATTGCTTAAGGCCAGGAGTTCAAGATCAGCCTGGGAAAGAGAAAAAGAAAGAGGAGAGGGGAGGGGAGGAGTGGGGAGGGGAGAGAAGGGGGGGGGGGGGGGGGAAGGGAGGGCCATGTCTAAGCCCCAGTGGGCCTGCCTAGAGCTGCCCACCTCAAAGAGAGGGAGTAGTGTTGGCAAAGTTCTCCACTGTCAGTTCCCCCCTCCTTAGATGACATGCTTTTTAAGAGTCCAGCAGGTGTTGAACAATGAGATCACATGGACACAGGGAGGGGAGCACTACACACTGGGGTCTGTTGGGGGGAAATGGGGGAGGAACGGGGGGCTGGGGAGGTGGGGAGAGATAGCATGGGGAGAAAAGCCAGATATAGGTGAAGGGGAGGAAGGCAGCAAATCACACTGCCATGTGTGTACCTATGCAACAATCTTGCATGTTCTTCACATGTACCCCAAAACCTAAAATGCAATTAAAAAAAAAAAAAGAGTCCAGGAGAGACAATCACAGGAGGCTCTGTGGTTCAGCACAGATGCAGAGGCGCTGTTGCAAGGGTGTCCTAAATGCTCCAAGGCTGCACATAGTCACCGTGCATGCCAGACTGGGCTGCTGTGTTAAACAATGTGGTTTGTGCACAAATACTCCCGGCAAAGGGGAGCACAGGAGCATGTGGCCTGAATCTGGCCTGTGCTCCATGCTAGCGTTTCCAAATTCCCAAGATTAATCTTCAAGATCCAGGAATATGCAATCAAAATTCCTAGGAATTCTCATGAGTTCCCAAAGTTATATTATTCTGTATTTTTCCTAATATTTCATTTACATGTCTTTAAATAATAATGAATGCCTGTAATAAGAGTGAATCATTTTTATCATAATAAACAGTGAATCACATTTTTGTGGTAGAGTTATGCTAAAAATTTCAGAGGTTTTCTGTTAAAAAAAAGTCTTATATAATAAATGCATGATTTATTATTATGAGCCAGAATATGTGACATAATTATATACCGCAACAACATGTAAAAACAATGTGCACTTGATATAGAAATTTCATAATACAAAACACTAAATAAGAAAATATTAACACAAAATAAATGCCAAATAAAAACCATTTTAAAAATTGACAGATGACATAAAAATATTTAATATTTATAAAGTATTATGCTTAAAAATGAAATTTTAAAACAAAATATTAACTGTCTTCTCTAATAGTCTAGAGGTTTCTTTCATGACAAACAGTCCAAACTAAAAAAAAAATTTTCATTTTGCATTGATGTTGGTCAAATCATTAAGGGCCTGCCAAAAGGATCTCCAAGTTGAGCATTAGGGCTTCATACAAGCTCATACCCTTTTTGAGATATGAAAATATTTATTTATTATTTATTTGTTTATTTGTTTATTTATTGTGAGACAGAGTTTTGCTCTTATCCCCTAGGCTGGAGTGCAATGGCGTGATCTTGGCTCAACCTCCGCCTCCAGGGTTCAAGCGATTATCCTGCCTCAGCCTCCCATAGCTGGATTACAGGCACCCACCACCATCCCCGGGTAAACGTTTTTGGTATTTTTCACAGAGACGAGATTTCACCATGTTGGCCAGGCAGGTCTTGAACTCCTGACCCTAGGTGATCCACCCACCTTGGTCTCCCAAAGTACTGGGATTACAGGCATGAGTCACCACACCTGGCCAAAATATTATTTATTTTTAATTGACCAAGAATAATTGTATATATTTATGGGATACAGTGCAGTATTTTGATAAATGTTTACATTGCGCAGTAATTAAGTCAAGGAAAGCCACTGGCAAATGCCCTTGGTTGATTTGACCAAAGACATGGAAAACCAGAAAGAAAACATGAATTAAGTCAAATGTTTTTTCACAAATACTTCTAGACGTTGGCTCTACACAAGGCCTAAATATCATCAATACCTGCTATCTGACATCAGAAATAAATATTAATCTGGGTTTTCGTGAGCCATTTCCCTTGCCCTCCCACAAATTCAAGTACTTGAATACATTACATGGGCCAATTATTATGTAAAATATTCTCATATATGCTAACTGACTTAAGAGAGAACTGAAAATGGACCAATCCACACTATAAGCACCCACAATGTCTCAGAAACCATGCTATACATTTCAAGTGTGTTTTTAAAACTTTATAATAATCCTGTAGTACAGGTATATTAATTTTATTCCATGGGTTGAAAAAATTAGGGATCAAACTGTAATGTTTCAACAGCTACATTACTAGTAAATGAAACAGCCTAGAGTTTAACCAAAGTTCAGCTTTAAAAATCCATATTATTTCTTCCACACCATACCACAAATCATAAAATGACTGCAAGTCACAGTTTCAGCTGTTTACCAGGCCCACTATCCAGCCAGGAGAGAAGGTTGGTACCAGGCAGCCTGGTTGCTCCATGAGGATGAATCTTGCATCCTCAGGGTAATAAGACCTTCCCCTGCACACACTTAGATAAAACAACAGGCATGTTTGCTACTCTTATTTGAAAGAAACATAAAGTAAACTTGGAAGCAGCATATATATTTTTGGGAAAGTATTTTAAATGAACATTGCTAACATAGTACCATAGACCTTTCTTACCTTTAAATATTTCACCAGCTTCTGAATTTGCCAATATTCTGATGGCAAATCTGCATTTGCTTCCTGACGATGGTCAGTTGGTTCTTCATCTTCCTCACTTTCTGAGGAGCTGTCACTAATGATTTCCTCAATCTTTTCAGCACTCTTTCTAAGAACAATGACAACACATATACACATGTAAGCTATAGTGTGGAGACGGTTATAACAACATTTTGGCAACATGGGCACAAGCAATGGATCAGATACCAACACCTTCTGAGTTCTAGTAGATCTCTATTAAGACCTGCATGAGGCCAGGTGCAGTGGCTCATGCCTATAATCCCAGTGCTTTGGGAGGCTGAGGTAGGAACACTTGAGGCCAAGAGTTCAACACCAGCCTGGACAACATAGTAAGACTCTGTCTCTACAAAAATATATATTTTTTTAAATTAGCCAGACATGGTGGTGCATGCCTGTAATCCCAGCTACTCAGGAGGCTGAGGCAGGAAGATCACTTAAGCCCAGGAGTTTGAGCTGCAGTAAACCATTATTGCATTATCACACCACCGCACTCCAGTGTGGGAGACAGAGCAAGACCTTGTCTCAAAAAAAGTAAAATAAAAAGGAAATGCATGAAATGAATAAACCCGTCTCTATCGCAGGTGCGATTGCTCTGGGTACAACAATCATAATAAAGAAAACAGTGAGAAATAAACAAGGGAATTCAGTAAGTGTCTTGAGGCTGTGCTTTTCAGTAAGACCCCCACTCATTACATGTGGTCATCTATATTTACAGGTATTTCAACTTACTTATTTAAGTAAAATTAAAGAAAATTTTAAAATTCAGTTCTCCAAGCACACTAGCCACATTTCAAGTGCTCATGGCCCCATGTGCCTTGTGGTTACCACACTGGACAGCTCAGATACTATTTCTATTATTCCAGAAAGTTCAACTGGACAGTTCAAAAGGCCCTCAAGTGAAAGAGTCTCTGTTACCAAAGAGAGTCAATATTCAGCACATCTTTCCAGAATTCCTACACTGAAGCACTTGGAAAGCGCAAGGTGCCAAAGAACAGCAATGACATGAACATAATCAGGTTCAGGACCAAAGAGTTAACCACCGACTCTGAGAGGCATTAGCATGCAAAGTGTTAAGTGCCACAGAACATTACATTCTATGGTCTGATGCACGGACAACAGTATTATAAGAGCCTTCTGTAATCCAATATACACCCTATGTCCCTGCAGAGGTCTCTCATGCACACTCATCACACCAGCCTGTCTCCACCTCCCACTGCCGGATGCGAGGTTATTGCCATTGGGTCACCAAACCCACAACGATGCTTCAGGAACTACTCATCCATCGCTCACATCCCAGGATGTTTATCCTGATATTGTTTCCCACATGTTCCTGATCTCACAGGACAGAAGCGAACTTTTAAATCTTCTAGCTAATTTTAATATTAAATAATACCAACAGCAGCCACCCATTCTAAATGTCGATTTTTGTCCCAGGCACTCATTATTTCCAAACCTCACAACCACCTCGCAAGGCAGGCTCTATTATCCCCATTCTACAAGCAAGGAGACCTCAGAGAAATTAAGAGAAAAGAAAAAAAAGTCATTCATTTTGAAGGATCCAAAATTACTTAAAATGTGACTCTTGCCAATCACATATTAAGGTGTCCTTAAATATCAAAGTCACGAGGTCAGTGACCACTACAGAACACATAAGTCCACAATACTTTTCCTCTAATTCTGAAATCCAAAAAGCTCTGAAAACTGATTTTTCCCCCCACTGGACTTAACTTGTTGCTGAGGCCTTATATGAATTGATACTAGACTATTTATGGCCTTTATTGCTCTCATTCATTGCGAATATTCATGTTTCACTACAGAAATGCTCATGTTTTTGATTGTAGGGTATTGGCTCACAGTTCAATAGAGGTTATTATGTAATATACATTATATGAATTTCATTACCCTTTTTTAAAGTGAGTTTTTCAGAATCCCATGAATTTGGTCACAAGAATTCGGGACAACAGACTATGGATAAAATGTCTCCTTTTAAGTCTTTCCACAATCCATTAGGTTGTTATTACTCTCATTATAGAGACAATGAGTTAAAAAATAATTTGGGCCAGGCGTTGTGACTCACGCCTGTAATCTCAGCACTTTGGGAGGCCAATGAGTGGACTGTTTGAAGTCGGGAGTTCGAGTCCAGCACGGCCAACACGGTGAAACCCTGTCTCTACTAAAAATACAAAAATTAGCTGTGTGTGGTGGCACACACCTCTTGTCCCAGTTACTTAGGAGTCTGAGATAGGAGAATCACTTGAACCTGGGAGGCAGAGGTTGCAGTGAGGCAAGATTGTGCCACCACACTGCAGCCTGGGTGACAGGGCAAGACTCTGTCTCAATAATAATAATAACAATAACCATGAACAAAACTCCATGGTTAGTAAAGTGGCTGTGTTAAAACAAATAGTTGTAATGGAAGCTGTTCACCTTGGTTCCTACAGGAGTTGGTGTATTTAACTTACATGTGCCTCAGTTTCCTCACCTGAAAATTGGGGATGATAACAGCAATTAGCATGTAAAGAGCTTATAACAGTGCCTGACATAGAGAGAGCATGAAATACATGTTAGATAGTCCTGTATTATCATGCATATTCATTCAACGAATGTCCATGGAGGGCCTGTTGGTTACCAGGTATCAAGGGAATGCTGCTGAAGAATGCTGTCTTTCAGTATCTTTCTCAAACTCCAAGGAAAAGCTGTGGTTTTGCTTTTGAAGATCTGATCTGTTTTAATCTTAGGGGCCCCATCAATTAAATAACTTGTTAGGTTTTTGCCTTCACCTTGATCTTCAGCAATGACAGAATCAAATCTGTGGTCTATGAGTAATTATCTAAGTTCCCATTATTTTGCAGTTTAGTACCTTGTCCACTTTGGTAACTATCAGAAAATGTTTATTTCTGTGTTTTCTTGTATTGTATTAGTAAGTTCCATAAAGGCAAGGACCATTTCTGTCTTTTATCCTGTCTCACCTAGCACAAGAAAGGCATTCAATAAATATTTGCTAGAAGAATCAATAGATTAAAGCATGTGTGAATAAATGAATGAACAAATGAATTCAGTCTAGGTTAGGATTATGAAAGGAGGGTATTTCTGGTGATAATTCCAGGAAGTGGCAATAGAGGCAGGTTGATGGAGAGGAGGCAATAGTCAGTGAGACTGAAACCAGGGAGTGCAAAGGCCAAGATTTGGTACTGGTCTTCCTCTTGGGGTTTCAGGTTTTTCAAGATGATGATTGGATGTAGGATGAAAGCGATAGCAAGTCAATGTTAACATCATCAGTGATCATGGATCCATGGAAAACAGCAAAGACAGAGGCTTACATCAGCCTCATGGGAAAGGAGGTCTAATCTGAAGAGTAAGGTAGTTTGAAGCAATAAAGAGGAGATTTCTGTCTCTGTGGTTATACAGGACCTTGGGAAAAGAAGACCTGAAGGAGAATCGCTGCTGTCATGGAAAAGTTTCATGCAAGAAAGGAGAGAGTGGAGGCTTCAGTGTGACCCTGTCACACTGTCAGGCTGGTATCAGCAGAGTCATAGGTGGAGCATGAACTCCCACTACCCTCCAGAAACAATGAGGACACCCTTGCCTGTCCCCTTAGGTGTCAATGAAGGCCTATAGGAAAACCTGCTAGTTCTATTCCTCACCAGCCTAGGGAAGCAGCACACACCTCAACCTGCAAATATAGTGGCAGAGAAGCGTTTTCTAAAATATAAGATTTAGGCCAGGTGCAATGGCTCACATCTGTAATCTCAGCATATTGGAAGGCTGAGGCGGTTGGATCACATGAGGTCACGTGTTCAAGAGAGGAGGGCGAGGACATAAGGAAATTCATTTCCTTGTAGTATGAGGAGGCCCAAGTCAAAAATGTAGAAGAGAGAGCAAAGTGGAAGAATGATTCAGATGGGATATTGTAGAGCAGGATAGGGATATTGTAGAGAGTCTAGGAGGAGACAGGACTCAATCAGGTTTGCATTTAGAGTGGTGTCCATGGGTAAAAGGAAGCCCAGGACCCTACCAGCCACTCCCTGGAGTCATGTATTCATTCTGGGCTCCCATTAATCTTTTAAAAACGTATCTGGGTCCCAGGTAATCCATAAAAGGGTTACTGACACCCTACACAATGCAAACCTGGAGTGAGACCAACGAAGGCTCAAAATGGGCCATCTGCAGAAGTTTAAGATTTACAAAAATAGAATTAGTGGAATCGTGATCATTGTGCTCTAATTATAAAAAGTCTTAAGAGAAAGTATACTTTATTCCTCATTGCTCTAGAAGCTTCTAACTCAACATTAAGCTCATGGGTGAGGAATAGTCCTTTCAAGCCTCATGCTCATATCTAATTCATTCTCATTTTTTTGTTTCTCTCTCTCCTCTCCTCCCTCCAACTCCCAGTGGGCTCTCGTCCGTAAAAGTCTTTTCCACTCTATTTCATTTTAGAGCACAGGAAGAGGATGGGCAATTTTTAAATTGTATTAATTTGCAAGATTCCATGATTCTCTTTATTTCTTACAGTTTTTTTGGCACAGAGAGCCCCAATTTTTGTACTTCCAAAAGCCAATTTGTGTGTAAAATACTATGATTGTGCTCTCTGGACCATGGGAGAGGGAAAGCCTGAATTGAAGCATCTGTTCCCATTTAACGAGTCTCCTGAGTGAAGTTTCCAGTAGATCAGGTCTATTCAAGAAGTGGTTTAAATTTAACTTAAAGATTCCAGATTGAAGCATATACTAGAATAAGTCTAAATTCTTTGGGGAAAGCCTAAATTTACTTTCTCTTAGCCTAATAAGCTCCTGGACTTGAGGGCAGAATGAAATACGTCTACCCAATCACTCCACAACCCCATTTTAAAAAGCAGCACCCCAAAGAAAAGCTTTTCTTTCCAGTCGATGAATCCTTCGATAGCTAACTTTAAAATGCTTTTCCTATTTGACATGATTCCTTTCTATCCTATCCCATAGCAACTGCATATTCGGGAAGCAAACGCCAATGTTGAATTGATCTACAAATTCCACTTTAAGAAACACTTCTCTACCACAGCATTCTATCTACTTAGGCAAGATTAGCCACAGAGGACTTTTCATTTTTATCATTGAATAATAGTTGTTGTTTGGATATATTACAACTTTACCTTAACCTATTACCTTGAAGTTCTCTAACTCGCTAAAATTTGAAATACTTTGGCCCAATATCTATTTCAGGAAAGATGAAGTAGATACACTTTTCTTTATTTCTCCCACCAAGTACAGCTAAAAATTTGGATACTGTATATAAAACAAACATAAGGTGAATCTGAAAGATAGAGGGGAAAAAAAGAGGACTACCTAGGGATCCAAAGACCTGTGGATCAACACAGCAGCACATTGCCTGGGTTTTATTTTTGTCTCATTCATCCTAGACTGGGCACTGGAAAAGCCAGCAAAGCAGAAACTCCAGTGGGTGCAGACAAAAAACAGGACCTAAGAAAGTCACGCTCTAATTCAAAGGGCCAGAAAAGGAAAGCCTAGTAAGACAGAAAATGTTTAGATAACAACATGATCTATTTCAGTCAACACTGCAGAAACCAGCGTGGCTCAACTCTACCTCTTACAGCAAAGGCCAAGTGAAGAGCCTCAGGGTCTATCTTTATCAGACTGTAAGAAAGCACTGCAACCCACCTGCTGGGGTGGCATCAGAGAAGGCCTGACAGAGAGTCAGATACTCACTGCCTCTCAGCAAAAATGAAGCCACTCCCCCGAACTGTGATGTCAGTAGAGCCCACTGACAAAGTAACCGAGGACTCCCTGTCACACTGTCAGGCTGGTATCAGCAGAGTCATAGGTGGAGCATGAACTCCCACTACCCTCCAGAAACAATAAGGACACCCTTGCCTGTCCCCTTAGGTGTCAATGAAGGCCTATGGGAAAACCTGCTATTTCTATTCCTCACCAGCCTAGGGAAGCAGCACACACCTCAACCTGCAAATATAGTGGCAGAGAAGTTTTTCTAAAATATAAGATTTAGGCCAGGTGCAGTGGCTCACATCTGTAATCTCAGCACATTGGAAGGCTGAGGCGGTGGATTACATTAGGTCACGTGTTCAAGACCACCCTGGCCGGCATGGCAAAACCCTATATCTACTAAAAATACAAAAATTAGCCAGCTGTGGTAGCACATGCCTGTAATCCCAGCGACTCAGGAGGCTGAGGCAGGAGAATTACTTGAACCCAGGAGGCGATGGTTGTTGTGAGCCAAGATTTTACCACTGCACTCCAGCCTAGGTGACAGACCAAGACTCTGTCTCAAATAAATAAATAAATAAAAGATTTAAACAAGATCCAGAGTCTCATAATAACCAAAATGTCTACATTTCAACTGAAAATTATTTGTCATACCAAGAATGGGGAAGACCTCATCTTGACTGAGAACAGGCAATTGAAAAATGCCAATATCAAGGAGATGAAGATATATGACTTATCTGACAAAAATGACAGCCACCATCATAAAAATATTTCAATAAGCAATATAAACATGCTTGAAACAAATGAAAAAAATAGAAAGTCTCAGCAAAGAAACAGAAGATAGAAAAAAAAACCAAATGGAAATTTTGGAACTAAAAATTATAATAAGTGAAATTAAAAACTCACTGAATGGAATTAGTTGAAGCATAGGGCAGAAGAAAAAATAAATGAACTTGAAGATAGAACAACAGAATTTACTCAATCTGAACAGCTTAGAGAGAAAAAAACTGAAAATAAAGACTAATGGACACAGCCTCAATGACTTTTATGAGATTGTAACAAAAGCGCTAATATCTGCCACTCTGAAACTCATAAAAGTGGCTGATCCTTATCTTCCAGACATGTCACTTCTTTTGTCAAACTGAAAATCAAGTAAGAAGTTTACTAGTTGCCCTCATATTTAATTGTTTTCATTAGCAATAACGTAGACCACTTCAAAATCAGCAGTCATTTGTGGTTAGCAAAGGGACGCTCAGACAGATAACATAACTTTGCCAGGACATGACTGTTCAGAGGCAAGACATCATCAGTAGGAGCCCAGTGTTCCTAAAACTTAGTTGGCTGCTCTTCGCATTAAACACATTTCTTTTCCCAGAGTCAACTAATACTAGTAAATCACTTTATTTCGGGTAAATCTGCATAAGAAGAATATCGTGTAAAAGTATTTAAAGAAATCCGGTGTTGTCATTTTTACTAACACTCCTAGTAACTGTCAATGTAAATACCTTGGGACCCTGGTAGTAAGAATGCCATTCATTTGCATGCTCACCAGCCACCCACTGTGTGAGGTGGCTTTAGGGAATTTGTCATGTTGACCAGAAACATACCGAAGTAATTGCGTTCTTGCGAGTGAAATAGATGGTCTTGTTTTTTCAAATTTTCCTGTGTGTTTGTCCTCTTGGATTTCTTTCACTGAGCCTTTGCTCCTAAAAAATATATATACATATATATTAATATATCAACTTTATTGCTTTACAATGAATAAAAAATAAAAGATGGCAATGTAGATATAGTCCATTATTTCCATGCACTCAAATGACGTGTGTTCCTGACAGAGTTCCAGCCTCATTCTGCCACTTGGAGCTGTCTCTTTCACTCTTTCAGCACAGACCTATGTTTTACATATTGAAGAAACATTCTGCCCAGCACCAAGGAACAGGTCTTCACAGGCTGCCACTGTTGGTGTGAATCCTTCACCCGATGCCTTCTATTCTAAGTACGTATCGCCCTCAATTCTAGTTGTCTGTTTTCTTATCTTCCCAACCAATATTGCAACAGGGCCTGCGCCTGGTTTTCTGGGTATTCTCAGGCTTTGCATAATCCTTGGCACATTCTGTGTTCTCCCTCAAACACCTGCTAAGGAATCTCATAGTTGAAAGAGCAAGTATATGGAAAAAGCAGTAGCTTAAAACTCGCTTCTCAGTGAACAGGGTTGCCCATACATTTTTCATTTGCACATTGACTCTTTCAAACAGAGCCACAAAAGTCAAACGCCCCAAAATTGATGAGAATCTATCAGAGGAGCCAGAGTGTCTCCCCTCTTCACAGGACTCCTTTCTTCAAACAGTGCTCTGGGTTTGCTTCCAAAACACAATTGCCCTGTGGTTCTCAGAATCCCTGCGAGAGAAGGTCCCTGTGTGATCAACCAGGAGCCAGTTCTTAACCCAAAAATGGGACAACATAGAACATCACTTACAGGCTATGACTCGTAAACTCATTGTTGTTAAATTTTTTTAAGTGGGCTGGATGCAGTGGCTCATACCTGTAATCCCAGCACTTTGGGAGGGCAAGGTGGCTGGATTACTTGAGCTCAGGAGTTGGAGACTAACCTGGCTAACATGACAAAACCCCATCTCTACTAAAAATACAAAAATTATCCGGGTGTGGTGGCACACACCTGTAAATCCAAGCTACTCAGGAGGCTGAGGCAGGAGAATCACTTGAACTCGGGAGGGGGAGGTTGCAGTGAGCTGAGTTTGTGCCACTGCTCTCCAGCCTGGGTGATAGTGAGACTCTGTCTCAAAAACAAATAAATGCATACATATGTAAATAAATAGTGCTCTAGGTGTTTTGGACTGCCCCAGCATTTAAGTAGCATTGGCCCTCAATTTTTGCTTTGACACCTATTTATAGAGGGCCCTAAATGGTACTTGTTTAGTATATTTCATACATTCATCAAGCCAGTGTCTACTTTATATAGACCCATTCATATTTTTTAGACTCTAGCCTTTTTAGAATATTAAAATTCTGTTAAAAGAGAAGACATTATCTCTATGACAGTTTCCCTGATTAACTCCATATAATTTTCCTCATTCCACATTTTCCCAGTGCTTAATCAGGTCTCTGCCATGGTTTTTACATTTCGCCTGTGACTTCTCCATGTGTTGTATCATCTTTTCTGCATATTATTTGTCCTGACTCACCAACGATATGAAAGTGAACTGTGTTCTTCCCTTCCCTCCACGGTGCTCCACACACAAACTCTACCAAATCTTTCTGCTTAGAATACAAAGAGGAGCAGACAGGAATCAACTTGTGCCTCAGAGGGACATGTAAATATCTACCCTGTATTTTTCTATTATAAAAAAAGTTCTGGCCAGACGCAGTGGCTCACGCCTGGGAAGTCAAGGCAGGCAGATCACTTGAGGTTAGGAGTTTGAGACCAATCTGGCCAACATGGTATAACCCTGTCTCTACCAAAAATAAAAAATAAAAATAAAAAGTTAGCCAGGCATGGTGGCATGTGCCTATAATTCCAGCTACTCGGGAAGCCAAGGCAGGAAAATCAGTTGAATCTGGGAGGCGGAGGTTGCAGTGAGCCAAGATGTACCACTGCACTCCAGCCTGGGCGACAGAGCAAGACTGCCTCTCAAAATACATACATATATACATAAAACAAAACAAAGTTAAGTAAAATATTAGGGGAATATGGTTACGAAAGATGCATCTGAAAACAAATGAAATTGTCTACATACTGTTTGTAATTAACAGTGGTCTTCCAGTTTAAGCTTGGTTCTAATCTCTTGGTCATTTGATTCCTCCCGAAATTAATTTGGTTCTTCTCCAGTGACCTCTTGTCTGACCCAGAAATGTCTTTGCGGAGGGCAGCTGCTTCTTCCTTCTTCGGGGCTTCGCCAAGTGGATCCTTTTCCTTTTGCTGTTCTTCATTGAAGCTAATCCCCTTTATTTATAAAATGAGAATAATTTTTAATGATATCTGAATTATCTAGGGTTCTCTGAAGATTAATGCTGGTGGTAAATGCAGGAAAGGAAGTCTCAGAGGCATCTAACTTGTGGTGCTTAGTAACAGCTAAATAAGGGCAATGTCAAGACTAAGGCCTCTTTTGGAGTTAGGTAGACAGTAATGTGATGTTTCTAAACTCACACCTCTGCTGCAGCACAGACAGATAAAACAGCAGGGTTGGACCTGCTCGTACCTTACCACCACCAAAAAAATTAAACTAAAACCCTCTGTTGACTGAAACTCATCATATTTAAATTGCTTCCACTAAAGATAAAGGAAACATCTTGAAGGTAGACAAGTATGACAGACATATTAAATACAGAGGAATGAACATGAGAATTTTAAGAGACCTCTCATCGGAAACACTGCAAACCAGAAAAATAGAAAGTAATATCTTTAAAGAACTAAAAAGGAAAAACAAAAAAAAACCATGTCAACCCAAAATTCTATACTAATAGTAAAACAAAAATCTTTCAAAAATAAAAACCTTCACAGATGAACAAAAACAGAGAATTCACTGCCAGGAGACCTGTGATAGAAATGTTAAATAAAATTATTCATCAGAAGTAATATCATGTCAGACAGAAACATGGATCTATGCAAAAAAAATTAAAAGCTACAGAAGTGGTAAAAATAAACATACAAAACTTTGTGTGTTATTTTTAATCATTCTAAAATATAATTATCTAAAGCAAAAATAGTAAGAAAGTTTTGAGGGCTTTATGACATGTAGAAATAAAATGTGTGACAATAACACAAAGAACAGGGAAGGATATTCAAGGTATATTGTTGTAAGTTTCTTAAACTATTTGTGAATTTTACAATCTTACTTAAAGGAGACATGATAAATTTGAGATATATATTATAAGCTGGAGGGCAGCTAAGAAACTTTTAATAAGAAATGTAGCTAGTAAAATAATAGCATAAATAAAATGGAATCATTTTTAAAAGCTCAATTCAAAAGGGGCAGAGAAAGGTAAACACCACAAAGAGCAGATGAAACAAATAGAAAACAAGTAGCAAGATAGTAAATTTAAATTTAACTTATTAGTAGTTACAGCAAGTAAAAATGGTTTACACACATCAATTAAATGAAAAATCATCAAACTGGATGAAAAAGGAGACCTAACTATTTGTGGCCTAAAGAAACTGTTTTACATATAAAGATACAAATACATCAGAAGTAAAAGGCTAGAGAAGAACAGTTCATGCAAACAACAATCAAAAGAAAGCAGGAATGGCCATATTAAAATCAGACAATATAGACTCCAAAGCAAATAATATTGACAGAGACAAAGAGAGGCACACATACTAATAAGGAATCAATCAGCACACAATTGTAAATGTATATTCACCAAACAACAGAGCTTCATAATATATGAAGGAAACATAGAGCTAAAAGGAAAAGTAGATAAATCCATAATTGGCAGACTTCAAAACTCTCTCAGCATTCAATAAATGAGCAGACAAAACATCAGTAATGATATAGAAGACCTGAGCAACACAATCAGACAACTTGACTTAACTGACATTTAAAAGACACACCATTCAATAACACCAGAATACACAGTCTCCTCAAATGTACAAAAAAAAATTCACCAAAATAGACCATATTCTGGACCATAAAATGAACATTAACAAGCTTAAAGTAACTAAAATCATATAAAGTATCTTAATACTTTGGAATTGAACTAGAAATAAGTAAAAGATCTACAGAAACTCCTCATATATTGAATAAAAACATCATACATTAAAATCTGTGGAATACAGTTTATGCAATGCTCATAAAGAAATTTGCAGCATGAAATCTTACAGACAAAAAAATAGAGGCTGAGACAGGCAGATCACTTGAGGCCAGGAGTTCGAAACTAGCCCAGCCAACATGGCGAAACCCCATCTCTACCAAAAATAAAACAATTTGTGTTCATGGGTACATGTGAAGGTTTGTTATATAGCTAAACACATGTCACAGGGGTTTGTTGTACAGATGATTTCATCATTCAGGTAGTAAGCCTATACCCAATAGTTATTTTTTTCTGATCTTCTCCCTCCTCCCATCCTCCACCCCCAAGTAGGCCCCAGGGTCTATTGTTCCCCTTTGTGTCCATGTGTTCTCATCATTTAGCTCCCATTTATAAGTGGAAACGTGCTATTTGGTTTTCTTCCTAAAAAGGACATGATCACATTTTTTATGGCTGTGTAGTATTCCATGGCATATATGTACCATATTTTCTTTATCCAGTCTACCACTGATGGGCATTTAGGTTGATTTGATGTCTTTACCACTGTGAATAGTGCTGCAATGAACATTTGTGTGATTATGTCTTTATGTGATGATTCATATTTCTTTGGGTACATACACAGTAATGAAAGTGCTAGGTTAAATGGTAGTTCTGTTTTTAGCTCCTTGAAGAATTGCCACGCTGCTTTCCACAATGATTGAACTAATTTACATTCCCACCAACAGTGTATATACATTCCTTTTTTTCTGCAACTTCACCAGCATCTGCTATTTTTTAACTTCTTGATAATAGCCATTCTGAGTGGTGTGAGATATCTCACTGTGGTTTTGATTTGCATTTCTCCAATAATCAGTGAAATTGAGCTTTTCCACATGCTTGTTGGCCACATGTATGTCTTCTTTTGAAAAGTATCTGTTGATGTCCTTTGTCCACTTTTTAATGAGGTTGTTTTATTCTTGTAAATCCATTCCTTATGGATGCTGGATATTAAACGTTTGTCAGACGCATCGTTTACAAATATTTTCTCCCATTCTGTAGGTTGTCTGTTTATTCTGTTGATAGTTTGCTGTGCAAAAGCTCTTATGTTAATTAGATCCCACTCATCAATTTTTGCTTTTGTTGTGATTACTTTTGCCATTTTTGTCATGAAATCTTTGCCAGTTCCTATGTTAAAAATTATATTGCCTAGGTGGTCTTCCAGGGTTTTTATAGTTTTGAGTTTTACACTTAAGTCTTTTATCGCTCTTTAGTTGATTTTTGTATACAGTATAAGAAAGGGGGCCAGTTTCAATCTTCTGCATATGGCTAGCCAGTTATCCCAACACCATTTATTGAAGAGAGTCCTTTCCCATTGTTTGTTTTTGTCAGCTTTGTCATAAATCAGATGGTTGTATGTGTGCAGCCTTGTTTCTGGGCTCTCTATTCTGTTCCATTGGTCTATGTGTCTACTTTTTACACCAGTACCATGTTTTTTCAGTTACTGTAGCCCTGTGGTATAGTTTGAAGTTGGGTAGAGTGATACCTCCAGCTTTTTTTTTTTTCCTTAGGACTGTCTTGGCTATTTGGGTTCTTTTCTGGTTCTATATGAATTTTAAAATAGTTTTTTCTAGTTCTGTGAAGAATGTTTTTGGTAGTTTGATAGGAATAGCATTGAATCTCTAAATTGCTTCACACAGTATGGCCATCTGAATGATATTTATCCTTTCAATCCATGAGCATAAGATGCTTTTTCATTTGTTTGTGTCATTTCTGATTTCTTTGCAGTGTTTTGTAATTCTCCTTGTAGAGATCTTTTACCTTTCTGGTTAGCTATATTCCTAGGTATTTTATTCTTTTTGTGATAATTGTAAATGGGATTGCATCCCTGATTTGGCTCTTGGCTTGGCTGTTGTTTACAGGAATTCTGGTAATTTTTGTAAGTTGATTTTGTATCCTGAAACATTGCTCAAATTGGTTATCAGCTGAAGGAGCTTTTGGGCTGAGAATCCATTGTTTTGTATGCTCCAAGTAAAACATTATTCACAACTGAATTCGTAAAATTTTCTTCATATGCAAATATGACTAGATTAAATTAAATGTATCATGACATTCTTAAAAAACTAGAGAAATAAGAGTAAATTAAACCCCAAATAAGAAAACATAAATACCAAAGTAGAAAAGAGAAAAATTAAACCTAAAGCTAGTTACCTGAGAAAATTTAGTAAATCTGTAGTTCAACAGCCAGATGGCTCAAAATAAAAAAACCCGCAAATGACCAATATAAGGAATGAGAGGTAACAATGACTACAAATTCTATAGATATTAAAATGTCACATCTGGACCAACCAGACCCAACAGACATCTACAGAACTCTCCACCCTAAAACCATAGAATATACATTCTTCTCAGCACCACATCACACTTATTCTAAAATTGACCACATAATTGGAAGTAAAACACTCCTCACCAAATGCAAAAGAATGTAAAACATAACAACCAGTCTCTCAGACCACAGGGCACTCAATAGAACTCAGGATTAAGAAACTCACTCAAAACCATACAACTACAAGGAAACTAAACAACCTGATCCTGAATGACTACTGAATAATGAAATGAAGGCAGAAATAAAGATGTTCTTCTAAAACAGTGAGAACAAAGGCACAATATACCACAATCTCTGAGACACATTTAAAGTAGCGTCTAGAGGGAAACTTATAGCACTAAATGCCCACCAGAGAAGAGAGGAAAGATATAAAATCAATACCCTAACGCCATGATTAAAAGAAGTAGAGAAGCAAGATCAAACAAATTCAAAAGCTAGCAGAAGGCAAGAAGTAACTAAGATCAAAGCAGAACTGAAGGAGACAGAGACACAAAAAAACCTTCAAAAAAAATCAATAAATCCAGGAGCTGGTTTTTTGAAAAGATGAGCAAAATAGACTGCTGGCCAGACTAATAAAAAAGAAACGAGAGAATATTCAAATAGATACAATAAAAAATGATAAAGAGGATATCACCACCAATCCCACAGAAATACAAACTACCATCAAAGATTACTACAAACACCTCTATGCATATAAACCAGTAAATCTAGAAGAAATGGATAAATTCCAGGTCACGTGCACCCTCCCAAGACTAAACCAGGAATAAGTTGAATTCCTGAATAGACCGATAACAAGGTCTGAAGTTGAGGTAGCAATTAATAGCCTACCAACC